TATTCTTGATGAAAATCAACTGTTAAACAAATTAAAATTTCTTTGAACATGATGAATTATTTTACCCTTGATGCTTTCAACATTCTCTTTTTACTGACTTTTAGCATTTGCTAATGTTCTTTGAGTAATATTTTTGCATTCATCCTACTTTGTATGTATTGAGCTTCTTGGATATGTAATGTAATGGTTTATTCCGTGTCAAAAAAAGTAGACACATTTTCAGCCATGATGGTTTATATATTTTCATTTCATCTCTCTGTTTTTCCTCTCCTGTTAGTCACAGTACTGTATAGTACATATTTTGGTTTACTAATGATTTACTACATATCTTGTAGGTTCTGGTAATTTTTAAAAATTATTTTTTTCCTATTATTCTTCAGAGTATTTAATTTTTTTAAAATTTGAATTTAGTGATTAAATCTATTGTGTTCTGATAATGATTTTTTTTTACTTCAGGTATTGTACTTACCAATTTTAGAATGTCTAGTTTTCTTCTTTTTTATAATTTCTATCCCTGTATTTGTACTCTGTATTTGATGAGACATTATAATCATACCTTTCATATAATGGATATTATATGGTTAAATTTGATACCTGGGACCTCTCAAAGTTAGTTTCCCTTGCCTACATTTTATATCTGTATGTATCAGTCATGTTTATATGATATATTTGTCTGTTTTCTGTAACTACGTATCATGAAATACTAGTCTATTATTTTATGAAGAAAAAAGATTCATTGAGCTCACAGTTTGGGATTTTCAAAGTCCATGCCATATGATGTCAGCTTTGCAGAGAGTCCATTTGTCTATATCATATCATGACAGATGTCATCGGGTGAGAATACAAGCAAGAGAGATAGGAAACTGTAACAAGGGGAGGGACTAGTCTTGTAACTTCTCACTAGGCTTCACTTCTTAAAGGCCACACTACCTCTTAACATTACCATACTGAAGAGCTAACTTCTAACATATGATAAATTGAGGGGCACACTCAAACTATATAGCACATGGCTTGTGATATTTATTGAAAAATTTAGAATTTAATGTAATTTATTGTACCAATTGGGGAATGGGAGGCTTGTTTGTATATTTATTTAGTGACTAAATGGATTATTTTAGGGAACTCTATTTCTGGACATCTGATATCATTAGAAACTGTAGCCTTGGACTTGTGCACAGACATTCTGTGATAACAGTGGTTTTAGTAGAACTCTCCTTGTCCCATCCCCAGATCTCTCATTAAATTGTCTTCCAGTGTGAGTATCACACCCAGGTTTTTAGTTCCTCTGAATTCTCTTTGATTGCTCTATTATTTTTCACAGTACCCTGGGCTATAAATTGTTCTACAGTGTGATGCAATTAAATTTTTATCCTTTTGCAGGGGTAGTTTTTGAGGTAAGTCCTTAAGGTTTTTGTGATGCCTGGAAGGCTTTTCTTAGCTTTTTCCTGGTTCTCCCTGGTGAACTATCTGCCCTAATGATTTCATTTATTGCTCTTGTGAAGCTACCAGCTTCCTCTTAATTGTTTGCCATCAAAAATCTTAATTGTTCTTTAGAGGACTCTTAGGCTTGAACTTCCCCCTCATCTGAGTTAAAATAAAGTCAGTTCCTTTGGGGAAAATTGTCTCTTTATATGTCTGCCTTTCCTTCTGGTAAAAATCTCTGAACCAGAGCCCCAGAGTGTGGGATAGTGACTGACCCACTTCTCATAGAGTTTCACCCTTGCTGGGTGCTGGGTATGGGAAGTAGTCTGTAGCCTTATTTTTCTGCTCCTGTTGTGCAGAATGCTCCATCACCACCACCATGAGTGGAGTGAGAAGAGAGGTTATTGATGTGCTGCTCCTGGTATAGAACCTCTTGGATTGGAGCAGGGGAGCTCCTGACCTCTCAGCTGCACTTTCCTGGAGTTGGGGCTCGTAGTGGAGAACAGGCAGGAGAAATGGTGGCAGCCTACCCTTCCCTGGGACACATCATAGATTTCAAATGTAGGTTGGAGTCAGAGGGAGGTCTGTGTTTCTTGTTATGCTTACCTGTGGAGGAATGATTCTGTAAGTCTGAGTGCCTTACCAAACGCTCCGAGGAGCTGACTGCAATGAGGATCACCCGGGAGGAAGCACACCGGACAGATTGAGATAGTAAAAAAAACAGACCTTTATGAGTCTGGCCAGATGGCACCCTCTAAGCAAACAAGCTTAGAGAGACCCGGAGCTCAGGGGGTTGGAAGGTTTTATAGGGGCTGCAGGGGAGCTTAGCAAGCAGAACTACAGAAGCGGAATTTTTGTGGTTAGGGGACGGTCTAGGGGAGTTTGCAGATGTTCTTTACTTATCTAACAGGATGTTCTTTACACAGAAACAATGATACATTCCAGGGTGTCTTAACAGATAAACAAGTACATTCCAGGAACTTTGTGTCCTTTAGTGAACCCGAAACCCACAGCGACAAGATGGAGGGCCTGTAACGAGATGGTGTTACTTTAGCTAAGTCTCACCTGGGTCTTACAACTCTTGACAGTGAAATGGGAGGTGGAAGATTGAGATGGAAATTTTAAATGCCATAGAGCCTCACTGTTCTTTCAAAGTTTTAGTAGATGTTTTTTCAATTTATGTGCCTTCCTGTGCTACGTTTACCTTTAGGACAGTTTCCAGAGACTTTAAAGGTTGTTATATTGAGTGATTTTTATCAGTTATGTTTGTTTTGCTAGGAGTCCTATGTTTGTTTCTGCAGAGATTGTCAAGCCACCTTTGAAAGTGATCTAGTGGTTATGTTTTAGAGGCTTGCTTGTGACTGGGTTTGACATTAATTTTTTTATTGACTTTTTCAGGTGCTGTTTAATATTATTTACAGATGAGGTTAAAAAACCATTTTTCTTCCTTCTGCCTCAGAAATTCACATTGAAAAAAGATTTTTATCTTTGGATGAATTTGAATCTTAAATCACTCAGAAGAACTAAGTTGTAGTTCAAGCCCTTCTGCATATTAACTGTGAGATTTTAGGCTACTTATCCACCCTCAACCTATTTGCTCATCCTAAGTACTGAGACAATAATAGCAGTTTTTAAGTTATACAGTGCATGTGAAAACACTTTTAAACTTTAAAAACTTGAATTGGAAAGTTTTGTAAATCAAATTCAGACTGAATTGAAGTACTACCTCTTTTCTAATTTTAGTCTTATGTAAGATTAGTAATTGTAAAATTCATTTTAGAGAGTCACTTGTTATAGTTTATGTGATTTTAAAATTTTTCATATTTTCATGTAATAAACATAAAGTTGTATAAGATATCACTTCGAAAATGGTTACTTTAGATAAGTTTATTGTGGAATTATAATAGCTGAAGGGGAAAACAACATTTTTAGTAAATACCTAGTAGCAAAATAATTTTATTTTTTTCTAATTTTGATAGCTTTGGTGATCCAATAGAGCTCATTTTAATATGGGGAAAGGATGATCATGATACATAAATTGTGAAAGTACCATAAAATCTAAATTTTGAAGACAGTCTTGGAGTTAGTCAAATCTAACAGAAAGTTTATTCTCAGGACCCCTGTCAAATCTTTCCCAGCCCCTCCATCAACAAATTATAGAGAATTACTGTTATACACAGCCTCTGGATTCCATTTTTATTCCATTTTACTTTCCAGGGTGTTTGTAATTTAGGAAACATGTTGTATCATATATTTCATTTATATTTTACTATTGTCTTCTGGTCAAGATGTTGCCCTGTTTGAGAAACCAAAGATCAAAAAGAATTAAATGATTTACTTTAAATTTTATGACTAATACATATTAAAAGACAAATTCACAATTTTGAATCACTTATTTCCTTGTCTTGAGCATATAGTATCTAGTCAGTATTGTACATAAGAAACTCAGAGATTAAAAACAGAATTCTCAAATGCCTCAACTCAGAGCCCTCACAGTTTAGGAAGGAAGAAAATCTCATAAAGCACCAGTTACTGTTTAGGTTGGTTTGGCCTGACAAAGATATTTGAATGATCTCGGATGAAAATACAGATCTAAATTAGTTGGGAAATTTCCTGGAAGAGGAGGACTTTTGAGATATACTCTGTTTCACATGACAACAATAACATTGGCTAGAATGATTTCTAGTACAATCTTAGCTGTGAATTTTTTATATATTAATCTTATTTGTATATTTTAATCTGAATTTCTTTCCTTTATTTTCCACAGTGTTGATTGTACATTCTCCACTAACTGAAAAGGAGAAATAAAATTTATTTTCTTTATGAAAGGTTTCAACTACTGAAATCTCTCTGTCCCTTTTAAATCTTTTCTTCAGACTTTTCTTTGGGTATTTTATATTGCTTTTGAACATGTAAAAATGTTGAAAGCTGTTGGGAAAAAATGTCAATTGGATCAAACTGAAGCATTTATTACTGTGGTTTTTCCTCTCTGTTGGAAACATTATCTCTGATATTTGTTTATTTTTCCTGACTATTTACTTTTTGCCAATAGTTACTTCTGACAAATTAGTAGAAAATGTAATGAGAATTACTTCATATTTTATCGAGGATAAGTATGTTAACATAAGGTAAAGTAATTGCTTAAGAAACCTTGTCTTATTTTAATCAATTCATATCATTTTTTTCTTATTTATTTGGTTTTTCTCTAAAGGAAAATTGGTACTTATTATGCGTTCCATGTGGTTTTTTTTGTTGTACTGGGATTTTCCTATGTAGGTTTTTTTTTTTCTTTTCTTGTTTTAGCCAATCACAGGATCTGCCACTTAGTTTTATTAAATACCATCTAGCTAATTTTGAATCATTTTCTAATTTGTTTAGATCACATGTAATTATCCTCCCACAGACAAATTTTCTTTCCTATGAATTCCTTTCTTTAGGGAAGTGGTGGCAAACCTATGGCATGCATGGTGAGCTGGCTGTTGTCATTGAGAGCTCTAAAAAGTTTGCTATTATTGTTTTTTGATTTTTAAATGCTAACATGTTTACATATGCTTACACATTATTTATACTGTCTTCAGAATATCCTGGCTTTAAATCCTCGAACACAAGCTCATGCAACTCTGCATTCCACTTTGGCCAAGAAATTAGACAAGAAACATTGGAAAAGAAACCCTGATAAGAACTGCTTTGTAAGTACCACTGATATACAATTTCCTACTGAAAAATTATCTTATTGCAGACATCATAAAGCAAAATTTTCCATATACTTAGAAATATAATTGAATATGAGTAAGTACAGCTATGCCTTTTTTCATATTTTAAATGTTTTATATTTGAATAGTCTCAAAACCGTGTTTAATTTTGGTTCTATAAAAAAATCTGAAACACTTAAAAATTTGAAGTTTAGTTTAATACTGATTTTTCCCCTAAAATCTTTACAATATTCCTTAAGTTGTTTTCTTATAATAAGAGAACATTATAGTGTTTCCATATTATCGATATAGTCTAACTGAAGATGATTGTAGATGTACTATTCTCTACAAACTGAAAATGTGCTCTTGGGCAACATTTGAATGCTAGATGTTCAATATAAAATATTCCTAGGTGAATTATAGGAGCAAAACAGAGTTTCTCTGAGATTTTTGATTGCTACATGCTTACTTACCTGAGCCTATAATGTGATCATAGAGCTGGGACTCGGAGACCATAAGTGGGTATGTTAGCTTTTCATCACTTCAATAAAAATCCCTGATATAAGTCAACTTTAAGAAGAAAATACTCACTCGCCACTGGCCCCGCCCACGGTGGCAATCTGCTTAGCCATGTGGGTTCCTGCAGGACAACCCCCAACCCCCCCCCCCAACTCTGGCCTCCTGGATGTACCCCTACGTGGTTACACACTACAAAGACACAGGGGACATCAGACCACTGTACTTCATAAGTTGGAGGGATCGTCACCTCCCATTGGAACCTGGACTGTCTTCAGGGGAAGGGCAGCTGGAACCTGCAGTACAACCTTGTTGAGTTCAACCCTACAGGAGTACAGGGAGCTCAACTTGGACTTGCTGCCAGAAATCTGCCTGAATCCCACGGGTCTGCGACTAGCTTGCTGAGACTCACTGACTTATATCTGCACACTGCTGCCCATGTTGTCTATTATGATAGCAGAGACATACTCTGAAGGAGGCCCTTCATTTTCATTTTTATTTGTTATTTTCAAAATTATTATTATTGGGGTTTTTTTGCTCTTATTTTTATTTTTTTCCTACTCTTTTCAAAGTTTTATTTTTCTCTTCTTTTTTTTCTTTCTTTTCTCTTTCCATTCTCTCTCACACTCACTCTCTTGCTGTCCCACACTGTTCTTCATCTCCCTTTTTGTTCCTATTCTGGCCCTAATTCAGATTTCTTCTTTATTTTTCTTTTATTCTCTTTTTCCTTCTTTTGCCTGTGTTCTCTGGGCTCACTGTTAACCTTCCCCTATCCTTCTACCTATCTATCTCTCCCTCCCCAACTCCTTCTAATTCCCCATCCCAACGGGTAAAGGTGCTATATTGAAGAGTTTATTCACTATAAACATATGTTGGGTTGGTTCTCGATTTTGATTTAATTCACACGGTTAAAGGTGATAGATTAATAACTTTCACAAATTGTCATTTTTTAAGATGTACTTGATGCTGTGGTGTAGCTGATTGTATCACTTGGGGCTAAAGTGTTGTGATTGATCTAATCAGTTGTCCTTCCTGGTATAATGAAAATGAGACAGCCTCAGAGTCATCAGAGACTCAAAAACCTAAGGACCAGCTATATCTGGAAGACACCTCTGAGAAGCAATCATTCCATAAGGATTCTAATTATAAGCAACAAAGATACTTACAGTAAGAAATTGTGAAGAATCAACCCAGGAATTAAACCAAGGACAGTACCAAAAACAAAAATAAGACATTTAAGCAAGGCACAAACTCAGACTTCTACCCCTCCAAGGTAAATTCTGGGGGAAGAGAGGTGGAAAAGTCTGATAATCAACCACCTGGACACACTGAACTGATAGCACAGGAAGTAACAAAACAGATGAATAAGGCCCTAGAAAAATTAGAAACAGAAATAATTTCCCAGATAACTATGGAGATGGTGAGCAGAGTGAAAGATATGCTGAGAGATTCTAGAACAAAACAGATAAAAAAATAGATGAACTCAGAAACATGCTGGAAGCCATGAATGCCCAACATAAGAAAGAAATGGAAACCATGATGGCCCAACGTAAGAAATAGAATCCATGAAACAGATTCAAACAGATATCCAGGAGATTAAAAACTCCATTGAAAGTATGCAGAGCAGATTAAGAGAATCTGAAGATAGAATATCAGATAAAGAACACAGGATTGTGGTTAATGACCATGAAAACAGATTTCTTAAAAATAGTAAGGGACACAAGAAATCAATACAGCAGTTACTAGATGATGCAAAGAGGAATAACATAAGACTGATAGGAGTCCGTGAAAAAACAGGAGAAAATACAATTGACATAAAAAACTGTTCACAGAAGTAATAGTGGAAAACTTCCCAGACATAGGTGGAGAATTGGACATACAGATAAGTGAGGCATATAGAACTCCAACTAGCCACAATAAAAAAAAAAAATCTACACCTAGATATATAATAGTCAAGATCCCAGAAACCCAACAGAAGAACAAAGTCCTACAAGCAGTTAGAGAAAAGTAACAAATCACCTACAAAGGAAAGCCCATCAGAATCATGGCAGATTTCTCAACACAAGCACTCAAATCAAGGAGAGCCTGGAGTGAAGTATTTCAAGACCTAAAAGAAAATAACTTCCAGCCTAGTCTGTTGTAGCCTGCAAAATTAGCTTTCAAAATTGATGGGGAAATTAGATACTTCCATGACAAAGAACACCTGAGAAATTTCATGAAAAACAAACCAGCATTCCAAGAAATTCTAAACAATATCCTAGAAAAAAACAATCAAGGTCACAACTCCATGAGACACAGCAGAGGGAAGCCACCAGGCAAGGTAAGAAACTAATGGAAAAGGGGGGAAAATTAGAAATAAAAGAGCCAACAACAGTAAAATATCATGAAAAGGATGAGTCAATATCTATCAATTATAACCATCAACGTTAATGGCCTCAGTTCACCAATCAAAAGAAATAGACTGGCAGAATGGATTAAGAAGCAAAATCCAACACTATGCTGTATACAAGAAACACACCTAACTCAAAAAGAAATTCATAGACTGAAAGTAAAAGGATGGAAAACAGTTCTCCATGTGACAGGAACCCAGAAAAAAGCAGGGGTAGTA